AAAGATTTTCTGAAGTATTGTCTTGATAGTTAAAAACATGACTAGAACATGCGAGGGTGAATTGATCAAACCTTTTGATTACTAAGGCTTTAACTTTTTGGCCAATAAAATTGACTGCATGTAAAAAGCGAAAAATTGCCACTTCTAATCGTTTTTTTTTTCATGGTTTAGAATAAAATTTTTTCGAAACTGAGAATGTTATGATCAAAGCTGTGTAAATCGGCCTGAATCAGGCCTGAATCAATGCATTGTACCTTGCGTTTCCTGTTTTTATCGCATATATTATATGGAATATGTGTTAAAATCTTTAATTATGAATCAGTGTATTTCAAAGAGCTACGCAACAACCAAGAATACTTTTGACCCACAACAGTCATACAGGGCGGGGCAGCTTTAATGTTAACTACTACTAGTTTATGTATGTGATTTAGGTTAAGGAAAATCATACGGTGGAACCTGACTAATACGGACACCAAGGGGACATTTATCAACCGGGTGCCCATATGAAGCGGGCACTCAAAAAAACTTCATGGACGCATGATTTATCGAAAAGAAGAGGAAAGCAGTCATTCTCAAGAGAAAACTTTGTTTAATTAACCAATGTCCATATTGAGGGGGTTAATTTTAGAGAATTAGCGAAAATATTTGAGCTTTTCGTCGGAACAAATGAAACTTTGTCCGTATTAATCGGATGCCCGTAATGCGAGGTTCTACTACACTTTGTCTGGCCGGGGCCGTCACGGCGCTTGCATCCAATATAGTGAATATTAAGTATACTGAAGGGCAAAAGTACTTTAGGATGATTTATAAAGTTATGAATCTCAAACCTCTTAGCTCATCAACGTCATCAACTGACGATGCCCAATTCAAGACACTTAGAAGCACCACTGAACCGTTGAACTGGTAGGCGTCTTCATGCCCAGCGTTACCAATGGTGTATGGCTTCCCCGAAGGTCCGTAGAACGTTTTCTCGGAAGGATATGATTTGTTACCCACTATTTTTCCGTTGATATATATCAACACAGCTCCAGTGAGGTGATCCCACGTAACCGCCAGGTGTGTCCAGTTACTTAAAGACACGTTAGTACTTTGCAACGACCACCACTCTTCACCGACATTACTATGGCGATAAAACACGATCCTCTGGTTCATTGTACCTAGAAAAAATTGGCGTGGAGTGTTCCAGTGACCATAGATAGCTCCTAACGTATTAGCAATCCATGTAGTTTGTTTTATCCAGCAGGAAATTGTAAAACTAGTATCACTTAGGTTCATGATCGGGGTGGTAGCAAAAGGATTTGTTTGGTTGAAAACAGGAGCTTGGACGCCTGGACACCAACCGTCAATAAAGGACAACGATCCCTTGAAACTGGAAAAGAAAAGTACAAGATGGTATAAATTGTAAGACAATTTAAGACATATATAGATAACTAACGGATTTTAACTTATTTAAAACGATCCGATAAATATATGATACACTCAAATTTCCACATCAAAATGCAACAGAAAGAGAGAAATGTATCGGCATTTTATTGGATACCTAAACATCACAGGTCACGACATGACACACCTGATTTTGGCTGATTTGCGTAACCACTCTAGGGATCACTCGAGGAACACAATGCCAAATAGGCCAAAAACAATACCTTATTTAAGGTTCGAGACCCTTAAGACCATACCCTATTGGGCAGAAACTATTTACCAGTCAAGCAGGTGGATTTGCGGACCACTTTCACCCCTTCATGTGTCATTGTATATTCACGTGTATTGTAGTTGTGAGAATATGTTACTATCTAAAAGATGAGGGGGCAAAATTTTAATTCTTCAAAAAACATATTCAGAATTGATGAAGCTACTTGGCAAACTGAATGCAGGAAGAAATGGCTTACTTTAAATGCATTGGGAAAGGCTCAGCTTTAACTTGGGAGGAGGGAATAACGATTGCTAAAAACTTAACGTAGACGCCACGGCTAGCCAGGTTAGTTATGAGACCAGAGTTCAAAGGCAATCTGACCCAATCAGCAATCCATCAACTCTATATGAAAAGCAAGAAGCCAGGCATAGAAAAAGAAGAAACAGCAGAGGGAAAGAGGTGGATCACACAATCAAAAAAGCACCAAGAGAGAAACCTGTTTCAATTGTGGAGCAAAGCCTGTACATCCAAGAAGTCAATGGCCTGTTACGCAAAGTGTGGAAAAAAGGGACATTTTGTTTGCAAGTCCAAAAGAGGAGGGAATGTTAACGAGTTACAAACCCAATTCAATTCAATTCAATTTTATTATTCACACTTTATAAAATATTAACATTATATATAGTAGGGTAAAAATACACTAATGAAGTAGAAGAAGAAGGGAAAAAAAAGAAAATTAATGGCTTGGGTAGAAGTGTACGGTGGTCAGAGGAGCTTAGCTTTCGAGCTAACTACCGCTATTGGAAATACATAACCCAGCCTGTCGATGCGCCCTCAAACGAAGACAGCGCGGCGGAAGACTATACGTAAGTGTATTTTACTGCAGCCGTGCATTATTTGAAGACAGTAATCGCAAAGACTCTTAATCACTCTCTCTCACAGCCTCACATTCGCCCTCTTTGGCTTAGTAAGGAGCTCGATCTCATCACAGATTTCCAGATCTCCTGTAGAGTCGATACAAATGTAAGCTGCAACATTCCGCCTCTGTACAAAGCAAAATCTATTTTTGAAACGGACCTCAAGCTGGGACAACCGACAATGAATCTGAAAGGGTACATTAACATTTAAGTTGAGAGTCTCGGATCTTGTTATGTGTACCTACATTATGGCAAGCAAACATACAAAGTTTCATGCGTGGCAGACAGAAAAGATTACATGATCCTGGGCAGGCACCAAGCATTGCTAATGGTGTATGTTAGCTTCCCGGAGATCCAGCAGCCAGGGGTCAAGGCCAAATGGATACGTCCATAAAAACCATTACTGACAATCCTGCGAAACCCCCTGCAGAACCATTTATTCCAGTAGTATAAGAATGTACAGACAAGAACATAACCTTATCTGATAGTATTCAGTTGAAAGAAGATTACAAACCTGTCAGCATCCCCCTCGTCAGGTAGCAGTGAGCCTTAAACCAGCCTACAAAGTAGGGTTGAAGAGACCGGTGGAACTTAAAGTAATTAAAGAAGTCCAAGAGTACACTGAATGGATCAATTCAATTGTTCCTGTGAAGAAACCTGATGGTTTCTGAGGTTATGCCTTGATCATAAAGGTCTAAATAAAGCCATTAAGCACAACCAGTGGTACAAAAAAACAATTAATGATGTCCTACCTGAGCTGGCAAACTCAAAGTACTTCAGCCTACTCGACGCTAAGTCGGCTATTGGCACTTTCTACTGGACAAGGAGAGTAGTTTGCTGACGACCTTCAATACACAATGGGACAGGTACAGTACTTGGCTACGCCTACCCTTTGGGTTAACCGTGACAAGTTACGTACAGGTGACGTGTTTCAAGAAAGACTTGACAGGGTCCTGCGGAGTGTTCCCACTACTACCAGTATTGCGGATAATTTCCTGTGCCCTGGCATCTTTTAAATATAATTAGGACTCATGGGTTTTGAACTGGGACTCATTTATTCTGGACTAGGAGCCATGATGGGATGAGTCCCAGGATTCATTATTAGCAAATTGTAACAAAATCACTAAAGATACAAAGGTTCTATTTTTTTTCTACAAAAAAAAAAACAGAGGATACAGAAAAACTCCAAAAGGATCTTCATCCACACGAATGCTACAGCTTACTGAGTAAGTAGTGAATTTGGTACTTGTAGATGGCTTTGTGTTCAATGAGCATGTCTGGTTAATTGACAGTTCCTATTTCGAACCACTCCTTCTTTGTCAGTAAGAGGCTTCTCACTGATTGGTCCAACTCAGTACCAGACTCGGGTTTCAAGCCATCGGCTGAAAACACATGTCCAACATAGCTTACTTCAGGAACTCGGAGTTTCACTTTCTTTTTGTTGCTCTTCAATCCTACTTCCCTGCTTCTATCCAGGACTCGTCTCAACGTCGGCAGCATCACTATAATCTGCACAGGAACCCCTTCATAGAGTTTGTCCATCCCCCACCAGTAGATTTCAAGGGCAGGAGAGATACAAGGGTGAGTTCAATATTGGGAGTTTATAGAGCTCTTTATCATCAAATGGGATCTCTCAGTACCCACTGCATGCATTAAAGGAAATTGAGCATGCATCTGAACGTCGGTTGGCAACCTCCTCTAAAGTAACCATTGGATAGTGTGGTCTCCTAAAAGCTTTGTTTAGGTCCTTTGCTCTATACAACTTCAAACATCACTCTATAAGGGTGGAGTGCCCTTTTCTTCCACTTTAATTTGTCGGTCACTCTTACATGAAACTCAAGGGGTGTGTTCCCCTTCTTTGAAAATAATCTCATCTTCTTCCATCTCTGTGAGCTTCTCCTATGCTGGTTCAAGAAGAGCATGGGGATTTTCCTGGGAGTATGTACTACTGGAGAAACCAAGAGATCAACTTCCAAAAGCACTTTGGTGGGTAGTTTACCAGGTTTATCACTGAAAGAATCTTCATATAATCCCGCAACACAGGATCAGTTTGGAAGACACTTCGTGATTGATGCACTGATAGGTTTTTTGCAGCTCTGGAGTATTTGTAAGTTCGAAATTCATCGATTCAGGATCTCTAAGTCTAGATTAGTATCACAACCCATCACAAGATACAATAAGTTGATTTCACGAGTCCCATATTGATCTAGAAGCTTTTGCCCGCCCTTTCTTTGGTTTAGATGCAAGGCACCCTTTGAAAGGTAGGTGGTAGGTAAAGTGTTGGTGTGTTAAACTTGTAAAATAGTAGGGGGTCCATCTGCCTAAGGGACTTTTCCACAGGTTGAAACGGTACCCGTGCTACAAACTGATGGAAAGATGTTTGTGTTCTGTTAGAAAGATAACTTTGCAACCAGGGTGAGGTCAAATTAGAGAAACTGAGATCGGAAATTTCACGAATCGTTTCCGATAGTGGATGCTATCAAACGCCTGCTTAGACACACAGGCAACAGGGACATGGGGGTCGATTATTCCAGGCAAACGCAAGGTGCCCTTTCTCTTAATGCACGAACCCTAGGCTTGTTTCCAGTCATTTGAGAAAAGAGGTATTTTTAAGACAGCTCATTCATCACAGGTAGAATTTTAATTAGGGGCACCCAGTATGACACCGCTAGTTTTCGAATGTCATTTCAACAAGCTTATAACTGTCGATTTTGCGCGATCTAGACCTACTGAAAAGCCGAAACCAGCAACTTAAAGAGTGGCAATAAGAGAATTTAAAAATTATGTATATCTGAATTCAAATAAAACTTAAATATATATCTTTAACCTTATATTTTCAATAGTCGAAATTGCTTCCAATTGACAAAAAAAATTTTAATATTTAAAATTAATCTTAATTAGCGTCAGCATGCTGCTTTATATCATATTTCGCTGCTTGGAAATTCTTGTATATTCTTTCCTTGCGATCTTGAAAACTAACCTATTTTCTCAGCACCAGTCGAAGTGCAGCGTTATTCTAAAGTTAGACTTTTAGCGCTTTTCTGTACATCTCTAGATCGACTGGGCAGAATTATTTTTATTGCATTTTTATTGCGCATTGTTCTGCGACAAGATCAGAGACGTGATGATATTCGGCCGACCGCTCTTTCAATGGATCGAGGGAGAAGTGGATCTTATTGAGATGAGATATCTTCATGCTGTGTGACGCTCCGCGCCTTTTTAAACTATTTTTAGATTTCCATTTCATCTTAGAGGTGGTAGTTCCGCAAGATGATAACAGGAATTGTTGAAGAATGTTGAAGGCGACAGAACATCACCGCTCCTTCTGGGCTCGCATCAAACTTACTCTTACAACGAATTCGAGACCTAAACCACCATCGCTTTCGTATCCTGCATTCCAGTGTATTAGCGTGCATGGAGTGTAAGATCCTGACACTTTATGCTAAGCCACATGTGTGGACAAAGGACTTAACAGTCTGTTTACACTTTTAAAAAGGCGTAATTGTTTACGATGCGCAAAGAAGAGTCGATGCGACCTTTTCGGCTTCGTTCAGTGAATCAAACGAATTCCTGTCGAGTATAAAACCGCCAAAATTACTCTCGTAACCACTCGATCATGATCAGTTCACCAGAAAATCAGCAATTCACCACTTTCGCATTGCTTCGGTGATTCACCTTGTTTAACCGACCTCTGCCCGACGAAAGAAAAAAAATAAGAAAAGAAAAGAAAAATTATGAGAAGCACTTTTTTCGCTTTCTCTTGGGACGACTGTAATAGCAACTAGAAAATTAAAATTTAACAATTCTTATGCTGAATTTCTCGAGGTAACTAAGGTGGGATGGGCAATGTAAAAGTGGCGAATTTCTATTATTTTCCGCAAAGTCTCTGATGTACTCATCTGATCAGTATAAAACATTTCTAACAATAGTTTAAACTGATTAACCAGCCAACCTTATATCATGCTCTTGGCCATTCAGCAGCCATTGTCCTAGAACATCTGGGGAAAAAAAAGAAAAGGTCACAAATTGGAATAACTTTTCAAACATTTGGCACAACACTCAAAATTGAGACCTGTTTATCCACGACCGGTTGAACAGTCAGTTCAACTCAAATTGGACTATGAAACTTCGTACACCGGGTAACAATATTTATACCGCTTTACTAATAACTTTTACCCGTTTTAGTTTCTCAATTTCATGCATATTGTATTTCCATGCAATCTAGGCACACTACTCTTGGGGCACCCGTGCGGCATGTTTCATGGATTTCATGGTTGGAGAAACACCAACAGAGACTTACGTAGGGAACATTTAGGGGAGCAATGCCACCGTACCAAAAGAGGAAAGTAATACGCTAAACATTCTATGACCCAAAGAACGGGCCTCCACCCAGCTGTGAGATCTAAGAAGCTACAATTGCAATTTCCCGACATAATACCGAAATATATTGGACCTGGGGTGTAAGACCGGTTTGTTGCAATGGCTGAGTTGAGAATATGATTCAGGAGCTGGTCGAAGAGTCTCAGCCGACGGATGTAAGATAATGTTGATAACGAAGCTAATATCCGAAAACTCGACAGCTTGCAATTGTCAATGAAATGAAGACGAAAATTTTAGCAAGGCTAGAATTTTCGTTTTCATACTTAGTGGACTACTTCATAATACTGTCTAACCTGTACAAGCGACTGATGCATCTTTACGGTTAGAGCCACAGAGGCTGACTCCCCATCCATCACTTGAACACATGTCAATGGAACTTTCGTTCCCCAGGCATCCAACATTGCTTAGCCATTTTTTTCTATTTTTTCCTATTCCAGTACCAAACGAAGCTTTTCCTTTGGCAGTTAATGCTGAAGAATATCCCAGTTGGCGACAAACAACAATTGCGTCCCTCAGATCCCAGTAATCGTCACAAACAGTTCCCCAGATATCATTGTAAAATATTTCCACTCT